ACTCCTGCTGATCAAGTGTCACATTCTAACTTCAAAGGTTTGTTAGAGTCAAAGTGTGTCGAAAACTTTCACCTTTGTATAGCCTGCTTAACCTTTCAAACTGTTTGCTCGTGTACCTGCTGTCATTTACACGTAGCTCCTTTTGTTAGCAGATTGTATAATGGCGCTAGTACTGTGGAAAGGTTCGATAAAAATTTGGCCTCATACTTGATTAGGCCAAGAAGGATTTCAGTCGCTCACTGGTTTCGAAACCGGTGCTTGAAGAACTGCTTCAATGTGGTCGTCCTTCGGTTTGAGCCCGTTAGAATCAGCTCAATATCCAAGGAAGGTGACTTCTTATTCTCTGAATTTGCATTGCTTGAGATTTAGTTTGAGACCATAGTCTCGTAAACGCATCAAGACTTGCTTTAGCAATGGAGTGTCATTGCGCTTCTTAGTGTCGCGTCCGTGATGCCTTCCGCTTCGACGTAGGCTTCGAGGCGAACTCTAAACGTTGACCACGTTCTTTCAAACACTGGTGGCCATCTCCTGCTCATGGCCCTGTGGGTCCAGGACGGGTTGAGGTCCTCGCTGTCCTCGTCGCCACTGTTCCAAAGCATGGCACTCACTCAACAGAACATAGGTGGCACGTCGTTTATTCCAGGTCAGCCAGAGCTTCGGTGAACCCGAGCTCCCTTACAGCCTGACTGTCCCGAGATGGGCGACCCGCGCTTCTTGCTGCTGATTATGATGGTAGTCTACAATGCCACAATTAACATACTTGCGTGTATGTTAAATCATTATATACATCAATAAACGATGTGGTAGCCTATGATACAGATGTTAGGCGCTTAAGCAGCCATTTTAATTATTTTATAACACACTGTCCACTAGTTGAATATTTTGTACCTGTGCACATCGACGCTAGCACTGTGCCAGGGAAGGAAAAGACGACGAAGTTCGTGTGTCGCGCTCTCAGCCTCCTGTTTTTTGTGCTGCAGCTGTCTTGCTTGCCCTGACGAGTTTCTTGCTGGAACTCCTCCGAACAACACGCTTGCTACATTTGGTGGAGGTGCGGAGTAGGGGATAAACATCCTTTCGTGTAATCTTGTTTAGGCGGCGGTAGTCAATGCAAAATCTTATTGAACCGTCTTTTTTCCGCACCAGCACGACAGGAGAGGCCCAGGGACTGTTCGATTTCTGAATCACGCCACATTTCAGCATGTCGTCGACGTTGTCGCTAATAATGCGGCGTTAGGCCTGCGATACCCGGAAGGGACGCTGTCGCAGGAGAGCATGATGACCGGTGTCCATACGATAAGCCACTGTAGATGTGCGCCCCAATAATTGCTGGCCAACGTCGAAAGAGGCACAAAATCGTTCAAGCAGTTGAACATTCTTTGTGCGCGGGACTGGCATAAGCGCGTTATCGATGCTACGCAGGAGGATGTCTTGGACAGGGGAGGTTGTAGCTGCGGCGGAGGTGACAGCATTTATCGTCAACGGTGTCTTTTCGCACGTTGCATCCAAAATGAAGATGGTCTCAAAACAGTCTGAATGTCCAACACATTCGCCGCGTAACAGAGTTGCCAAGCAAGGAAAGGAAGTGCACGCATAGACCACACCGGCACCATGCACAAAAGTAACGGCGGCAAATGGGAGTAAGACGTACCGTCGGCGTGCAGTGTCTTAAGACGGTGTAAACAGGGTGGTTAAATCCCAAACTGTGTCAGAGGAAACAGACTCCAGGGTGGCAGAGAACGGAGAAATGATAGCGTCAGCAGCGACAACCAATTTAGGCACCGTGCTCGGGATGTCGACGACTGTTGTACTGAAAAGGGACAAAGCGAGTCGAGCTCCAGCACAGTCAACGGGCGAATCATGTGCAGAAAGGAAGTCCCAACCGAGGATCACGTCATAAGACGCATCGGGTAGGACAACGAATTCCGCAATGTAGAAACCGTCGTTGATAAAGAGACGTACCATGCACGCCGCCACAGGCTTAACGTTCTGCGAGCTCGCTGTCCGCAATAAAAAATCAGAAACGGGTGTCGCCACTTTCTGTAGTTTGCGGCACAAAAGTTCACTTAAAACAGAAACGGCAGCTCCTGTGTCGACATGAGCGTTCGTCGCTTCATCATCAATAATAACCGCGATCTCATTCGGAGGCGAAAATCGAGGCCTCGAAATTTTCGACGAGGGCGCAGTTTGTGCCTCAGGAACTCCGGCTCTTAGTTTTCCTCTTGTGTGGGGTTAGTACGGCGGAGCATAGGAGAAACGGAGCGGCACCGTGGAGGAGGAGATCGACGTGAGGGGGAACTGGCACGGCGAGAATAAGCGTCCGATGAGTCGGCGGAAGCAGGGTATGCTGGCTGTTGTGGCATGTAGTCGAGGTTGGGGGTATAATCATCGGCATAAACACTGCGCTGACCGCGACAGTGACGCGCAACATGGCCAGGAATGCCGCAGGCGTAGCAGATGGGCCTGTTTGGTGTGCGCCAAGGGTTGTGAGGGGGTCCGGGAGGCGAGAGAGGTTGCGCGAGAACCGGGCGTATTGGGTGAACAGGGCCTGGTGGCCAGTAGAGGTTGGTGACTGGGGCGGATGGTGTTGGCGACGGTCGAGCATAGGAACGGGTAACGGCCTCAGCCTAGATGAGAGGCGCTGCAGGCTGCGTTGGTGGTACAGGAGGTGGAGCTGCCTCAGCAACTTGAGCTTGAATGACACGATGGAGCGAGTGATCCAATGCCATGAGACTCTCGGTGAAAGACTTGACAATAGAGAGCTGACGAGCCACTTCCTCACGGATGTATTGCTTAATTTGCGGCAGTAAGGTGGAATATTCAGCACCAGTGCTCTTAGCTTCCAAAGAAGAGAGTTCCACTGTGGGAATTCCAGCGCGACGGGTAGAAAGGCGCTCTTAGCGCAGCTCGTCAAAGATATGGCACAGTTCAATGACTTGTGCAACTGTCTGAGGGCACTTGGCTACCAGAATATGATATGCATCGTCATCTATGCATTTAAGTATGTGCCTTATTTTGTCAGACTCTGCCACAGATGCATTCACGCGCTTACACAGATCGACGACGTCCTCAATATAACTCGTAAATGTCTCACCGTCCCTTTGGGCTCTGGCATGGAGGCGATGTTCGGCGCGGAGCTTGCGCAATACAGGCCGACCGAAGAACGAAGCGATGATTTGCTTGAATACCGACTAGGTGGTGAACTCGGCTTCATGGTTGTAGTACCACAGCTTCGCCATATTGGTCAGATAGAAGCTGACGCGCGTCAACTTAGCAGGATCATCCCATTTGTTGGGACCGCTAACACGCTCAAACTCTACCAGCCAGTCTTCGACGTCAAGTTCGTCGGTGCCGCTGAACATCGGAGGGTCACGTTGACGAAGTGTCCCAGCACACATAACCGTAGGTGGTGCTTGGGAAGGAGTGGCGTCCTCGGCCATTCCAGGGGCAGATGGTAAAGTGCGGTTGCGGAGCTCCAGGACGAAAAGGGGAACGACGCAGCAGCGCTCCACCAAATGCAACATGCTTGTTACAATTTACGTACTTGCAATTCTTGAAGGGCTTGGCTGCAATAGGTTCCGAAACGCGAAACCCGTGATTTTTTTGTGCATCGCTGCAAGGCTGCCGATGAAGTACGCCATACTTCTCCGGTGTCCGGGTAATTCTTAAAATGTCGTAATGCACCGCCATCTGCCCTATCACACTCACAATTGGATAACAAAATGTTCCGAATTATGTAGTTAGGGCAGTGCAGTGTGCATTGAAAAAAATTGTTGTTTGAAAAACAACAGTCGAGTGCATAACGATTTTTTTGTATATAGAGCGTTCCTTTTAATACCATACAAGAGACAGCCGTAGATACCTCAGTTTTCATATGCTATACGGGAACCAACATATTTTTTGAATGGTTTCACTGTCAAGCATTGTTACTCGGTCATTCACGCCGGCAGGGCGATACCTTGTGAGCACATATGCGCTGATGGCAGGTTACTTACAACAAGGTTGTAACATGACAAAGAAAAAAAAACCTATGATAAGAACACCCTAATCAAATATGCCATAAAAAAGCTACATACCAATAAATTTTTGGCAGTATTGTCGTTCAAGTGCAGGCCGTAGTGTTGTTTTTAATTTCTCGATAAATCTCACGCCAAAGTCGTTATATTGTAGGTTCTTATACTTTTCTCACACGCTTAATGCAGCTCCGATGACGTGAAACCGGAAGAAGTGCATAGCACCAATACTCCAGTGATTCCAACCCTACATAGGGCATGGCGCGCCTGATTTGAGTACCAATCACATGTTTCACGAACATTTCTTGCGTTTTACAAGAACTGGTTTCTGAGAAATAATGGCGTCGGCGTCGTTGGTTGTAAAAAAATTTTAGTGCTTTTCGTGAGCGAAAAATTGTGAAATATGCTACTAAAAGTACTATTATAAATGATCGGTTCTCGCGGGAATCAAACCCAGGACTCCAGCGTGGCTGCCAGGCATTGTAGCATAAAGCCACGAATTTTCTTGAAACCTCTTCGAAGAAAACAGAAGACCCTTTATCTTTACTCTGTAGTAGAAGGAGTCTCCTTAGCGTACGTATTGTTGTGTGGCAGAAGCGTAGTGTCATGCCGGGCGTCAAAACATGTGAATAGCGATGGGACTATAGTCGAAAACAACTTTAGAAAACAGCGGCCTTCCCTCCATAAAAGCGGATGCATGCAAGCCAGCACCAATGGGCGTGTACTGTAGACTGACGTGAGGAGCCGGACGGCCGTTGACCCCGCCTGCAGAGAACGTTGTCGACAGCAAAAGAGACTATTTATTTAGTTGCTGAGGGGATCGCCTGCAGCGCTTCAGGCTTCTGGGCGGGCCTCCCTTGGCTTCATAACGTGCGTCCGACTGTACATGATTGTAACACAAATACCATACATTTGTGCTATTACGAAGGTATAAAAATGGAGGATGGACAAGTTAGCTTGCACGAATGTTGTATGATGTAGACTTGGTAGCAGACAAAAGAAGTTTTATTCATAAAAAGAGTGCGTGTAGAGAATATCGTGATACTAACTTATTCGATCTTTTATTTAGAAAAAAAATTACACAGTAACTATATCTCGCTGGCCTGTGAGAACGAGAAGCCGTGTCACTTTCACTGCTATATTTGATCCGTGCTCTTCAAATGAAGTGAGAGCTAGTACTCATAGCGTTGAAGCAGTTGCAGTAAGCTTCAAGTTCGTCACCATGAAAGTCAGTTGGAAGCGGAGCTATATTAACGGGGCTTAAACGCTTTACTCGTACTCAGGACACAGATCTTCGCTGTACAAGTTCACCGAGACACCGCATAGATCTGCGAAATTCGTGATGCAGGACTTTGGTATATTGTCGGCCTTGTCTTTGGACACCAACAGCAGGCACCCTAAGATAGGAAAAACTATTTATTAAACGTATATTAGTGAGAACTTCAAATTAGGAGTTCAAAGTGCATAAATATTATTGTGACATGCCAAGTGTGGCACGCAGTTTCACATCAAAATGTTTCATAAGGAGGTTACTTCATGAAATAAGTAAGATCACAAACTATGCGTACTTTTCAAATCACATATATGTATAACACATTTTTATAATAATTGCGTTGACACTCAATCGTGGTTATTTATAGCTTAATAAACGTAGTAAACAAGATTTTTTCCGATTCGCTGAGTGCCCTGATAACAGCAGCCAGAGTTTCAAAACATGCCAATAAAATTCCAAATTATATAGGTGAATATTGCAAGGAGAGAATCGTATTTTTTATCTTGATCAATTGCATAGTTAGGCAAGAATACTAAACCAGCTTTGAAGACACACTGCGGGAAAAAATGTAATTTGTAAAGCTTCATCTGTAAAGTGTTATTGTTTGTCTGTTCGCTCTGGTGCCCACTAAATAGAACACGATAAAACAGGTGATATGCCCGCTTGCGCGCCCATGCGTGCTGTGAAATATGCTCCCTAACGTTCTGCATGGAAACGACCATAATATTTGTGTGGGTGGTTTTCCACTGAATGAGTGGTGCGTGGGGCGGCTTTTTGTGGGATAGGTTTCTCTTTATTATGCTGCTGGAAGGCTAGCAATAATATGCCATTAGTCATATGCTAGTAGTCCTAACAAATCTCTCGCAGAACCGCACGATCTCCTGCGTTGTCATTTACGAATATTGACAACGCACTCGCTCGCGTTGTCAATGTGCGCGCCGGCATATTTTTAACCCCACGATATAGCTCGCTGGCCCCGTGCTTACAAACACATGATTATACATGAAGTGAAGACCGTAAAGCGTTCGATAGAATAAAGCATATATCATAGACCATGCACATGTCACCTACCGAAGATGTTAACATAAAACATATGGAGCGCCGCAGGTCACGTTATTAGGACCAAAAACCGCCTTCCGCAGCGGCAAACGGGCGCTGCCGCGTTTGAACACATGATCTACTGGCCTTCTCTTTTTTCACTTCCCCTTCGTCGCCAATGGCGGGATGATTCTGCGCCGCCGCTCCCGGTTTGAAGGCAAGCAAACTGGGTGCAGTGGTTAGGTATTTACAATGCAGACAGTGCCAAGAGCACCGGTGTTTCACACTCTCAAATCGTCGCCCCGCAGCGCACTGAGCTCGATAAAGTGCTAACCAGACGAACCTTTTTGCTACGCTCGCCGCGCCTGCATAGTCCTCACCGCCCGTTTCTCTTCGTTGGCTGCAGAGCAACGTCTGCCATACGCCACGCCGCGGCCGCGCCGCCGAGGAGCAGGCCATCATGCTTTGGCATGGGGCCACCATCTAGCTTTGTCTGAAGAAAAACTAGCTGCGGAAAAGTGTGTATAATTTGAAATGACGAAGTGTACTGTATACCACAGGATGGGTAGCACTGGCGAGGACGACGAAAGGTTATGTGGAACGACGAAATGGGGGATTGAGCGAGCATAAAATCGAAGCAGTTCTTGCTGGGTAGGGTGCGTTGGGACAGAGCTTGGTCCTAAAATGAAAATAAGTGATAGGCTGATGATGAGAACAATAGATATGATCAGGCACAATTTTATATAGACTTAACTGCACTCTTCACGCGTTTTATTAACATGCGTATTTTCTCCAAGTTTCCTGATATTACGCAAATGTATATTTAGGACTGTATTTTTTGTTAGACGCAATAATAAAGAAATTAAACAGACAATCATGCCTGGGAACGTATAGGGGATGCTATATGAGGTAATTGTAATGTAAATATGAAGGAAAAATTGGATGAAAAGACAACTTGCCGTGGGCAGGGACTGAATCTGCAACCTTCGAATAACGACTCCAATGCTCTACCAACTGAGCTACTAAGGGGGCTGTTCCCCCTCTACTTTATTGAGTATATGTGGATTAAACGCAAGAAGCGTCTGTCAGCGCAGCATGTAGCCATGACGGCGAGGTTGTGAAACCGCGGTAGTGAGAGTTAAGAACCTGGCTTGGGGGGCAGCGCGCAATTGGAGGATGACGCACAAAAATCGCTCTACAAGGATTTTCCAGTCAGCCTCCACTTATGGGCTGTTTATATTATATACAGTGTTGATCCATTGTTATAGTGTACCTAATAAATATTATAGTGTATTTATTATGCAATTTAGGGTATAACCAGATGTTTTTCTTGTTAACTTCTCTGCCTTTCTCTCTTTTGTTACTTCATCCTTCAGGGGGGGGGGGGGGGCTCATAAAGCCGTAATTCTGTCCATGCAGGCTCTTTGTGACCGGTTCGTAACCACTCAGCAGGTGGCACTAATATGACATACAGACAGACGGCCAGAGGCATGGATGGACTGATGGATGTATGAACGGACCCCTGGACGGAAGGAAGACGGAAAGACAGACGGATCACCGTATAGAAGCACAGACGGATAGATGGAGACATGGACGGACAGACAGACGGAGGGACGGATGGAAGCACGGATGGAACGATAGACGGATAGACGGGTGGACGGAAAGAAGGAAAGACGGAGAACGTACTCACGGACGAACATACGGAAGTAGGAATGGAGTGTCGGACAGACAGATGGACGGACGCACAGATCGACTCGTGGACGGACAGAAGCATACGACGCATGAATGAATAGACGGACGGGCAAACGGACGGACGCACTAATGGTTGAACACACGGATAAAAGAACGACCACTTCGCCCCACTTATCATCATTCACTTCATGAATAGACCGTGATTTGATTTGCCTCTCTGGCGCCACGTATCACGTGATCTCATTAAGTTGTGGCAGTTGAACAATAAGCCTTCGTATACTACCGAACCTGTGGTGGATGGGGAGAAAGCCACCGTGTTGTGGGTTCATACAATTTTCTCTCTTAAGAGTTACATTAAAATTGCTTCGTGTACCAACCTCTATACTTTCCTTGGGATGACTGTCTGTTAGATCTCATTATTATTGTGTAACAAAGATAACTATTCCTTGGGTATTCACTTATTTTCTTCACTCATAGCGAGGGTCTCGTTCTAGCAGAATTTCAGTCGTCAGTTAGTATACGAGGAATTATTGGTCAACTGGCAGCTCGTAATAAGCTCACTAAGATCACGCTCTGGGTGACGCCAAACAGGCAGAAAAATAGTTTTCCACATTCGCCATTATGGCTACAGGCAGGGTTGCCTGACACTCCCACGTTTAATTCCCATGCGTATATACACAATAAAGTAGATAGTGGTATAGCCACCGCAGTAGCTCAGTTGGCAGAGAGACGGAGGCGTCATTTGAAGGTCGCAGGCTATGTCCCGGCCCAGGCCAAGTTATCTTTTCACCCGCTTTTATTTTTTCACATTTACATTATAACTACTTCATATAGAAACCACTATACTTTTCTCGGCAAGATTGTCTGTTAGATATCATTATTTCTAGATATTAGTGGTTCGACATTGCGAAATTATTTGGGTTCTTTTTCTCTTGTACGACCTTCAGAAACTCGTAATATATTCTTTCACAATGTAACCTGCCACAGTGTCAGTTCGTAAATAGAAACTGCAATTTGGCATTTTGTTCTTCCTCTCGACTCCGTAGGGGCCCTTCACGATGGCACATGTCTCATAATCCGTGTATAAATACTGCGCTTCAAACTTTTGTTCATTGTCTGCAAAAAATGATAATACTGTTAGAGAACTGTGAAATTGGTTAAAGAAAGACTGCATACCTGGTGTGATGGTTAAAGGAACGTTCGTCACTATGTTTGTTGATAGCGGACGAGAAAGGATTAACATGAACTTTTTATTTCATGGCATGGGTGGAACGACTAACAGCGCACGGATACGCTACCGTGTGCAGCGCCGTTGAGTCGGACGTCGCGGCCAACCCAGCAGTCAGGGTCGCAACTCCGGAGGTCCAGGATCAGGCCACGGCTCACGACGACCACACCCGGTAGGCCTCGTCCACGAACCTGCTCACGGCCACTGCACCCAGGCAGGAGCCGTTCGGCAGGTCTCGGCCTTGGACCTTGAACAGACACACCGGAGCTCGACCTGGCCGACACGTACGGGTCTCACGTCCGGCTCACGAACGCTGCCAGGAACTCGTCCTCTCGAGCGGCGCACCGCTTCCTCTGCCTTCGTGGCCTCAACCCTCGAGCTCTCTTTTCCGCACGTTCCTTCTTCTTGGCCAGGGCACCGCCAGGTACCCTCGGGTGCACACTGCAGCTCATGAGCTCGTGGCCCACGTCCGAGTCTGGCGCATCACTCGGCACCGCTCGGCGATCCTAGATTCAGCCAGCAACTTCCCTGCCACCTGGATCCTCGGCCACCCTGGACCTCGCCCGGTTCCGCGCTCCTGTGTGCGCACTCCCGCGTCTTGCCCGGCAGAACGTCTCGCTCGTCCCTTGCCGATGTGCGACGCTCTGGTGACAACGGCGCTTGCTGGCATGGGTGCGGCCACGGAGCAGTCAACCCGCATCGGAGACGCGATTCTCCATGCGGGGAATGGCCAGCCCGTCCAGCGAAGAGCGTGCGTCGAGACGCGATGCTCGACGCAACCGTGACCATTAGCCAGGCCACGTTCATCGCTGTGTTGAAAGGCTGACCGCGGAGACGCCTCGCCGAGATCCGCGATGCCCTCGGCAAGGAAGAGAACAGCAGGCCAGGCCGCGCCCCGAGATGCAGTACTCGTGCCGGCAACACCGCCCCATCTGGTAGTTGGACGGCAGTAGCGTGGACGGCCGCGTTCCCTGGCCGGAACCTGGATCGCCTGCGTCCGACGCTTCGGCCCGCTGTCTCCCGTCTGCCGCTGCTCCGGCTCATCCCCAGCCACAAAGCCCACTGCCACGTGATGGTCGCCCGTGGCCCAATCGTGGCACGCCACCTCTATGGGCCACCACAGGTCATCAGCTGATTCGCTGACACTCACACGCACATTACACGCGCCTTGCCCCGCACTTCCGTCGTTGTCGTTTTCTTCACTCATCACAATAACCCCCCGCACAAGAGAGCTGTTTCAGTCAAACAACGTTTCTCACAATACACTTTGATGAGGAAGAACAGTCCTGTGGACTCACGACTCTCGAGTAGTGGTGGCGGAGATGCCTGGACCAGCGCGGCCTCGGGCCTCGTTTCCGAGCTCTCTGGTCCCTCATTTCTTTTTCCTCAGCGCTCACCCATGCCAGCAAAGCCTCTCCTCTCAGCCCCATCTCCTTCCCTAGCTCAACTAGCTTTCTCTTGTCGTCCATTCTCGTCGGCCACACACAAACAACGTGAGGCTCTCAGATGTAACGCGAGAGCTTAATCCTGGCAGGCTCGCCATTTATTGTGATGGTTAAAGGAACGTTCGTCACTATGTTTGTTGATAGCGGACGAGAAAGGATTAACATGAACTTTTTATTTCATGGCATGGGTGGAACGACTGACAGCGCACGGATACGCTACCGTGTGCAGCGCCGTTGAGTCGGACGTCGCGGCCAACCCAGCAGTCAGGGTCGCAACTCCGGAGGTCCAGGATCAGGCCACGGCTCACGACGACCACACCCGGTAGGCCTCGTCCACGAACCTGCTCCCGGCCACTGCACCCAGGCAGGAGCCGTTCGGCAGGTCTCAGGCTTGGACCTTGAACAGACACACTGGAGCTCGACCTGGCCGACACGTACGGGTCTCACGTCCGGCTCAGGAACGCTGCCAGGAACTCGTCTTCTCGAGCGGCGCACCGCTTCCTCTGCCTTCGTGGCCTCAACCGTCGAGCTCTCTTTTCTGCACGTTCCTTCTTCTCCTCTTCTTTTCATTTCTTGTTATCGCCTTCGTGCCACCTGCCCTCCGCTCGTCTTCTTCAGTTTCGGTTTGACGTTCCTCGGCACTTTTAAGTCCTTTTAGCCACAAATCGTACCTAAACACAGCACTTTTGTGTCCTTTCCTTACAAATATCCCCCTGCTCAAGAAAGTTGTTTAGGGGGAAAACTTTTCATAAGCGCGCGAGGTGGAGTACCCAAAAGCAGAAACATAGCAAAAAAAAAAACATTTACAGAAGTTCATTCCGCTAGGGAAAGGGTGAATTAACATGAAAAGAAATTGTGCCACCACTAAACGATAACCAGCGGAGAAGTCAAATGCGGCTGAGGTAGTCGGCACCTATGTTGTCGGAGCCCTTAATGTACTCAACCACAAAGTCATACTCAGTAAGCAATAGGCTTCCCTTCGTGGTATTTCTTGAGAAGGTTGATGTGAAAAAGACTTCTCAGTGTTCCGAGATCTATCTCGCAGTCATAGTCACTGCGTTTTAGGGGCGAAGCTCCTTAGGGCGTGGGCTGTGCGTCCCCTGTAGCCTGTATGTAGCCACCTCTAGTTTAGTTCTTGCAGTGTTCACTAGATGGCGGTACCGTCCCCTGTATGTAGCCACCTCTAGTTTAGTTCTTGCAGTGTTCACTAGATGGCGGTACCGTCTCCTGTATGTAGCCACCTCTCGTTTAGTTCTCGTAGTGTTTACTAGATGGTGGTACTTGTAGCTGATGATGAAAAGATGCAAGATGTTATAAACTAGAAAGCGGTACTTGTAGTTGATGAAAGACGCGAGATCTTATAAAATAGGAATGATGTCACACATGGCGCGTGTCATTGGTTGAAGGCAATCGTTCGATTTATTGCGGCGACGTACGCTAGGGGGAGCGATGTAATAAAATCGAGTGGGCAAAATGTACAGAGGATTCATGGTTTACCAGGTTTACCTCCGGAGCTTCGCCCACTCATCATCATTCACTTCGTGGATATGGCGGAATATTTTCAAGCACTGTGAAGGGCCCCTTCCATGTCAAGATCAATTTATTCTTATCCGATGGTAGCAACAGCAATACTTTGTCGCCGGGTGATAGGTGTCGAACTCTTGCTTTCCTATCGTAAAATTTCTTCTGTGTCATTTTCGCCTTCAGGAGTTCTTCGTGCGCTACCTTGCAGGTGTCTTGCAGTCGCTCCTGGAGATCTATAACATACTCGTATGTTGTTTTCGTTTCAGGATCGATGTTGGCCCCTGTCCACAGTTCCTTAAGGATCGACATTGGCCCGCGTACAAATCTGCCGTAGAGGAGATCGAACGGCGCGAATCCAAGGCTCGTCTGTGGAACTTCACGGTATGCAAAGAGCAGGGGAGCCAAGTATCTGTCCCAATGTTGCGGCCGTTCTTGACACATGCGGCGAACCATTTGTTTGAGAGTGCCATTGAATCTCTCCACAAGTCCGTTGGCCATGGGGTGATAAGGCGTTGTGGGTAGCTGACGAAATGAAAGTAGCCGACCGAGTTCCTGCATGAGACACGAGGTGAACGACTTTCCAGGGTCGCTCACTATCTCACGGAGCACTCCAACGCGGGAGAACATCTCTACTAGTGCTTCCGCTATGCGCTCTGTCTCGATGCTCGGGAGTGCAACCGCATCCGGGTAACGCGTAGCGAAGTCTACCATCGTTAAGACATACTTGTTGCCCTTGGATGACGTTGGTGACAGCGGGCCAATAATATCGATGGCGACCCGCTGAAAAGGTGTGTCTATGATAGGCATATTTCCCAATGGAACTCGTCCGACGCGGTGTTTAGGCACGGTCCTCTGACATACGTCGCACGACTTCACGAACCGTATCACATCAGCTCGTACACCCGGCCAATAAAACTCCGTAAGGACACGGTCTGTTGTCCTTCTTTGCCCTTGGTGACCAGACAGAAGGCGTTCATGAGCCATCTTCATTACGGTGTTCCGAAGATTCTTGGGTACTACAAGTTGCTCCAAGTCTCGCCTTTCTGCCGTGCGGTGGCGCCGGAAAAGAATGACGGACGTGGGCCTCGAGCTCTCTTTTCCGCACGTTCCTTCTTCTTGGCCAAGGCACCGCCAGGTACCCTCGGGTGCACACTGCAGCTCATGAGCTCGTGGCCCACGTCCGAGTCTGGCGCATCACTCGGCACCGCTCGGCGATCCTAGATTCAGCCAGCAACTTCCCTGGCACCTGGATCCTCGGCCACCCTGGACCTCGCCCGGTTCCGTGCTCCTCTGTGCGCACTCCCGCGTCTTGCCCGGCAGAACGTCTCGCTCGTCCCTTGCCGATGTGCGACGCTCTGACGACACCGGCGCTTGATGGCATGGGTGCGGCCACGGAGCAGTCAACCCGCATCGGAGACGCGATGCTCCATGCGGGGAATGGCCAGCCCGTCCAGCGAAGAGCGTGCGTCGAGACGCGATGCTCGACGCAACCGCGACCATTAGCCAGGCCACGTTCATCGCTGTGTTGAAAGGCTGACCGCGGAGACGCCTCGCCGAGATCCGCGATGCCCTCGGCAAGGAAGAGAACAGCAGGCCAGGCCGCGCCCCGAGATGCAGTACTTGTGCCGGCAACGCCGCCCCAGCTGGTAGTTGGACGGCAGTAGCGTGGACGGCCGCGTTCCCTGGCCGGAACCTGGATCGCCTGTGTCCGACGCTTCGGCCCGCTGTCTCCCGTCTGCCGCTGCTCCCGCTCGTCCCCAGCCACAAAGCCCACTGCCACGTGATGGTCGCCCGTGGCCCAATCGTGGCACGCCACCTCTATGGGCCACCACAGGTCATCAGCTGATTCGCTGACACTCACGCGCACATTACACGCGCCTTGCCCCGCACTTCCGTCGTTGTCGTTTTCTTCACTCATC